GCTATGTTGAGGTACCCTCCTTTATCTGGGGAATGTTCAAACATTCCAGGCCAAGTTGCCCCTGGCTTTTTAAGCTTTAATTGATTAACTCTGGGTCTTTTTTAGTGAGCTTTTTCCTGGCCTTATTCTCTTTCCACCCCACTCATATCTATTTTCCTGCCTTACAGTTTCAGGCATCTGCTGGAGGTCTTGGATTGTATCCCCGTGGAAAAGGGGGACCATTGTGGTGGATTCAGGAAGCCAGGACAAGGTCCTGGGAGCTGAAGTGAAGAGGGCTTGCCTTGTTTTATGAATCCTGAGCTGTTTTCTTTGGGTAGGGGCTAGGAGGGAGATTCAGAGGACAAAGGTTTAAATCAGAAAAGCCTTGAGAAGCCCAACTGTTCTCAGTGCAAAGCTGGCCTCTGTGACCAGGAGCTTGGTGGGGATAGAGTGGGCCAGGCTAATCAGCATCTGAGAGCAGGGACCAGAAACCAATGAGCATCTAGGCTTCCCTCAGCTTCAAGGGTCAGAAAAAGAAGTAGAGGAAGGTTAACCCTCAGACTTGTTTCTACCTCCTCCTCCTGAAGCACAAGGGAGCCACCTCTCTGACATATGCCACATGCGCCACAAGTAACAGGCAATGGCGCTCAGTAACTAGGTAATGTAGAGAGGGTGACATTGTCTAGGCCTGTTTCGTCTTCTGAAATATGCATTGGTCTTTTTGATCCCTAAGCTGAGAAGCTGGCCTGGAAGCTCAGTTCTACCCTGGGATGGAGGGCAAGGGGGGCTCACTGGCCAAAGAATAGGGCAGCCACAATCTAGGGGTATCTTCATCTCAACATGTCCTGATGAACTGGCCCACACTTGATGCCTGTTCGTGAAGGGCTCATCCTTGTATTACAGCGATCACATATTAGGGCTTTAAAAAGAAAAATGAATGTATAGTCCTTGCTGTCAGGTAGTTTGTGAGAGCCAGACATACATATGTGACACGTGGAAAACCATTCAAGATTAAAAATCAGCTTCTGCATCTTCAAAAGGGAGCATCCTATGAAGGAGTGCCAGCTGAGTGCTCAAAAGAACAGGTGCTTAGAATTCACAGAGGGCCTGATTAGTGTGCTGATTCATTGCTCAGGAAGCATCTGCCAGGTAATATTTCCAGAGCTCTTTTTGGGAAATAGAATGGGCAGTAGCTGGAAGCTGGAACGAATGAGGCCAAGGTCATAGGAGCCATATCTTATAACAAGGACTGAAAAAAATGTTCCTTAGTCACCCACTGTGCCTTCTGTTTTGGGCAGTGGGGAGGGCCTCGGTGATCAAGGCAGGAATGAGAGAATCCAGGAGGCTCTTAGGCAGGCCTGGAAAGACTTTCTGTTACAATGAATGGAATTAAATTACCTGTGATGCCGGATGGGCCTCCACCCACCGAGCCCTAAGCACCTGCTCCCAGCACTAGCCTTTCTCTCCTCAGCCCCCACAGTGCTGTCCTCCCATCTCAGTAAGGCTTGGCTTATTCAGTCCAGCCCAAGTCAAAGGACCCTATTTGGGGAAGTACAGCTGGTTTCCATTGGAGCTGACCCAGCTGCTGATAAGTTAGAAGCTGGGGTTGCTCCCCCAGTTTCTGCAGGGACTCTGGGGCAATCTCTTATCTCTGCTTCCCTCTAGTATCTGCCTCTTTCTGCTCTTTTTCCATAGACAGACATTCTCTGCCAGCTTATCCTGGTGCATATGGTAGGAAATGGCTGTCCTAGGCCCATCTTTCTTGGATTTCTCAGCTACAATCCCTGGGACCATCCTCTCTGGATTATGATTCTAATTCTCAAGACAAAAAATCTCTTTGGGTCCCTTATCTATCTCAGATCTCATCAGCTGTGGCCAGAGAACGCTTTAACCCTTCACCAGGGCCTATGGGGAATGGCCAGTTTTCAGAGCAGGGAGTGTGGACAGAGCCGTTTATCCAAGAAGACTGTAGTGTGTTTCTGCTGCTTTCAGAACAGGTCTTACTCACAGTCAATGTAGTTTCCTTCCCTGCTAACATGGGACAGAATTCCTGAGGTCAAGAACTGGGTCCTAGAGGCATCATTGCATCTCCAGGGCCTGGGATCAAGCTTGGAACATGAAATATGGAACAGTTTGGATAACCAGGAAATTCTGTAGATGGAGGCATGAATGAATGGTTACTCCAAGGTCATCCGGCTGATGATGAGGGGAAGAAGTCAGCCCAGAAAGTGAAGCATGAGACTGGGCTTTATTCCTTGGGCTTTGTCCCCAGCCCAGCCCTACAGAAAACCAAAATCCCCTGGCTTTGGGGGCAGAATGGCATCTGAGGCATAATATTTATTTTCTTCACATACATTTCCTATTAATGAACACAATTCTTCCTCAGCATGTAAGTTGACAGGGATTTTCAGAACTGCCACTGTCCATCTTGAGATGCCAGGGTTCTTGTTTGCAGAGTCAAAGAATGAACTTTGCAAACACTCAAGGTAGGAGAGCAAGTGAGAGGCTTTTATTTAGAGATAAAGCAAGAGGACAGAGTTCCCGGCTCACACCAGGAAGGGACAAGAGAGTCCGGGTTGGTGCATTCGTTGTCTAGGGGTTTTATGGGCAGTTGAGAGACAAAGGGCTAGGAATGCATACCTGCTGAGAGGTCCCAAAATGTTTATCTTTGAAGGGACCTTAAGTTTCTTATTAGTCTTTCTGGTTATTTACAAGCAATTTACTGCTCTGATTTCTTCCCAGGATAGCAGCTTCCTGGTCTGGGAGGTACCACTCAAGACTGACTGCTTTGTTCCCAAGGTGGGTGAGTTATTGTCTTTTTGTTAAAGAGTTAAGAAACTTACTTTTTAACTAATTGGGTTTTAAAATGTTACCTCCTCCTCCTGAAGCACAAGGGAGCCACCTCTCTGACATATGCCACATGCGCCACAAGTAACAGGCAATGGCGCTCAGTAACTAGGTAATGTAGAGAGGGTGACATTGTCTAGGCCTGTTTCGTCTTCTGAAATATGCATTGGTCTTTTTGATCCCTAAGCTGAGAAGCTGGCCTGGAAGCTCAGTTCTACCCTGGGATGGAGGGCAAGGGGGGCTCACTGGCCAAAGAATAGGGCAGCCACAATCTAGGGGTATCTTCATCTCAACATGTCCTGATGAACTGGCCCACACTTGATGCCTGTTCGTGAAGGGCTCATCCTTGTATTACAGCGATCACATATTAGGGCTTTAAAAAGAAAAATGAATGTATAGTCCTTGCTGTCAGGTAGTTTGTGAGAGCCAGACATACATATGTGACACGTGGAAAACCATTCAAGATTAAAAATCAGCTTCTGCATCTTCAAAAGGGAGCATCCTATGAAGGAGTGCCAGCTGAGTGCTCAAAAGAACAGGTGCTTAGAATTCACAGAGGGCCTGATTAGTGTGCTGATTCATTGCTCAGGAAGCATCTGCCAGGTAATATTTCCAGAGCTCTTTTTGGGAAATAGAATGGGCAGTAGCTGGAAGCTGGAACGAATGAGGCCAAGGTCATAGGAGCCATATCTTATAACAAGGACTGAAAAAAATGTTCCTTAGTCACCCACTGTGCCTTCTGTTTTGGGCAGTGGGGAGGGCCTCGGTGATCAAGGCAGGAATGAGAGAATCCAGGAGGCTCTTAGGCAGGCCTGGAAAGACTTTCTGTTACAATGAATGGAATTAAATTACCTGTGATGCCGGATGGGCCTCCACCCACCGAGCCCTAAGCACCTGCTCCCAGCACTAGCCTTTCTCTCCTCAGCCCCCACAGTGCTGTCCTCCCATCTCAGTAAGGCTTGGCTTATTCAGTCCAGCCCAAGTCAAAGGACCCTATTTGGGGAAGTACAGCTGGTTTCCATTGGAGCTGACCCAGCTGCTGATAAGTTAGAAGCTGGGGTTGCTCCCCCAGTTTCTGCAGGGACTCTGGGGCAATCTCTTATCTCTGCTTCCCTCTAGTATCTGCCTCTTTCTGCTCTTTTTCCATAGACAGACATTCTCTGCCAGCTTATCCTGGTGCATATGGTAGGAAATGGCTGTCCTAGGCCCATCTTTCTTGGATTTCTCAGCTACAATCCCTGGGACCATCCTCTCTGGATTATGATTCTAATTCTCAAGACAAAAAATCTCTTTGGGTCCCTTATCTATCTCAGATCTCATCAGCTGTGGCCAGAGAACGCTTTAACCCTTCACCAGGGCCTATGGGGAATGGCCAGTTTTCAGAGCAGGGAGTGTGGACAGAGCCGTTTATCCAAGAAGACTGTAGTGTGTTTCTGCTGCTTTCAGAACAGGTCTTACTCACAGTCAATGTAGTTTCCTTCCCTGCTAACATGGGACAGAATTCCTGAGGTCAAGAACTGGGTCCTAGAGGCATCATTGCATCTCCAGGGCCTGGGATCAAGCTTGGAACATGAAATATGGAACAGTTTGGATAACCAGGAAATTCTGTAGATGGAGGCATGAATGAATGGTTACTCCAAGGTCATCCGGCTGATGATGAGGGGAAGAAGTCAGCCCAGAAAGTGAAGCATGAGACTGGGCTTTATTCCTTGGGCTTTGTCCCCAGCCCAGCCCTACAGAAAACCAAAATCCCCTGGCTTTGGGGGCAGAATGGCATCTGAGGCATAATATTTATTTTCTTCACATACATTTCCTATTAATGAACACAATTCTTCCTCAGCATGTAAGTTGACAGGGATTTTCAGAACTGCCACTGTCCATCTTGAGATGCCAGGGTTCTTGTTTGCAGAGTCAAAGAATGAACTTTGCAAACACTCAAGGTAGGAGAGCAAGTGAGAGGCTTTTATTTAGAGATAAAGCAAGAGGACAGAGTTCCCGGCTCACACCAGGAAGGGACAAGAGAGTCCGGGTTGGTGCATTCGTTGTCTAGGGGTTTTATGGGCAGTTGAGAGACAAAGGGCTAGGAATGCATACCTGCTGAAAGGTCCCAAAATGTTTATCTTTGAAGGGACCTTAAGTTTCTTATTAGTCTTTCTGGTTATTTACAAGCAATTTACTGCTCTGATTTCTTCCCAGGATAGCAGCTTCCTGGTCTGGGAGGTACCACTCAAGACTGACTGCTTTGTTCCCAAGGTGGGTGAGTTATTGTCTTTTTGTTAAAGAGTTAAGAAACTTACTTTTTAACTAATTGGGTTTTAAAATGCTATCTTAGCTTCAAGAAGGAATCCTTCCTGTTTTTACTACATTGTTTTGGGCTTGATGGTTAAATTGCCCAGGTTGCAAATGACTTGATTAGGTCTGGAGGAAGAAAAGCAGTGCCTGGGTAGTAAAAAAATAAATAAACTGGGCCCCCCAGCAGTCCAAAGCAAATCCCACAATGGATTATCTTGCTTTGTTTTTTCCAAAGGCCCTCACCCTACTGGGCCTAAGCCTATGGTCCCTGTCTCACTTGGGTAATGTTCACTGAGTGCTGGCCATCCATAGCATTTCTTGGACACTGGGCTGCTGCTTTGACAGGAATCTCCTCACCTTTGGTGCTCTTTCCACATCACAGAGTTTATTCTCCACTTTCCTAAAGTTCAGTACCAGAGTGCACTCATGAATGAACTTATGAACTTGTCATATAGGGAAGGAGTTGGTTTTGAAGTGAGGGTCCTGTCACATCCAGCCCCACCACTGGGTTGGGCAGTGTGAACCATGTATCATTGAACAGAATCCCTTCCCCCAAGTTTATTGAAGTCTCCACTTACAGAAAGCCATCCTGTCCTTATAATAGAGCACACATTGACCTCAGGCTCGTCTGAGTATCTTGATTCCTCTCCTCGTCCTTTCTTGGGAGCTGTTCTCCTCAGGATCACTCAGCAGTTTTTGCTCCGAGTGAAAACTGATAGTTTTAAGCATAATGCTATACCTCACGTGATTAAAGTTTGGATGACACTTTGGGGCAGATTGCAAACCCAAAGTTCCTCTTCTTTCAAAAATAGAATACATCCAAACTTAAAGACACTGTTATCATTCTCATTTGAAAAGAAGCATGTTGAGAAGTGTTCACACAGGACACTCAGTTTGTCCATCTTGGAGAATGTTCTGGTTTGGGGGGTTTAAGGGAGATGAAGTCATGGTGAGGTGCTGAGATTCACATGGGACTGTTGGGAAGGAATTTCAAGGGTATTTTGCTCTGATTTCAAATATATTTTTCACATGTGTATGAAACAACTTTTCATATTTATAAGCAATCTCTCAGAATTATTAAATACAATATAGTGCTTTTTTGGATGTTGTAGATGTTCTAAAATTGTCAAGAGTTCTCATATTTGTTGGCTGTAATAATCTGCATGGACATGGGGTTTTTTTTGGTATCATTAATCTACAATTACATGGGGAACATTATGTTTACTAGACTGCCCCTTCACTAAGCCCCCCCACATACCCATTAGTCACTGTCCATCAGCATAGTAAGATGCTGTAAAATCACTACTTGTCTTCTCTGTGTCATAAGGCCCCCTTTCTTCTTCACTCCCTTCTCCTTCCTTTCCCACCCATCCTCCCCAGTCCCTTTCCCTTTTGTAACTGTTAGTCTTTACTTGGGTTCTGTGATTCTGTTGCTGTTTTGTTCCTTCAGTTTTTCCTTTGTTCTTATATTCCACATATGAGTGAAATCATTTGGTACTTGTCTTTCTCTGCCTGGCTTATTTTACTGAGTATAATACCCTCTAGCTCCATCCAAGTTGTTGCACATGGTAGGATATGTTTTCTTCCTCTGGCTGAATAATATTCCATTGTGTATATGTACCACATCTTCTTTATCCATTCATCTACTCATGGATACTTTGGTTGCTTCCATTTCTTGGCTATTGTAAATAGTGCTGTGATAAACTTGGGGGTGCATCGTCTTTTTCAAATTGGGCTGCTGCATTCTTAGGGTAAATTTCTAGGAGTGGAATTCCTGGGTCAAATGGTATTTCTATTTTGAGTTTTTGAGGAACCTCCATACTGCTTTCCACAATGGTTGAACAAATTTACATTCCCACCAGCAGTGTAGGAGGGTCCCCCTCTCTCCACAACCTCTCCAACATTTGTTGTTGTTTATCTTTTGGATGGTGGCGATCCTTAGTGGTGTGAGGTGGTATCTTATTGTGGTTTTAATTTGAATTTCTCTGATGACTAGTGATGTGGAGCATCTTTTCATGTGTCTGTTGGCCCTCTGAACTTCTTCTTTGGAGAACTGTCTGTTCAGTTCCTCTGCCCATTTTCTAATTGGATTGTTCACTTTTTGTTTGTTGAGGTGCATGAGCTCTTTATATATTTTGGATGTCAACCCTTTATCAGATCTGTCATTTATGAATATATTCTCCCATACTGTAGGATACCTTTTTGTTGTATTGATGGTGTCCTTTGCTGTACAGAAGCTTTCCAGCTTGATATAGTCCCACTTGTTCATTTTTGCTTTTGTTTCCCTTACTGGGGAGATGTGTTCATGAAGAAGTCACTCATGTTTATGTCCAAGTGATTTTTGCCTATGTTTTTTTCTCAGAGTTTTATGGTTTCATGACTTACATTCAGGTCTTTGATCAATTTCAAATTTACTTTTGTGTATGGGGTTAGACAATGATCCAGTTTCATTCTCTTACATGTAGCAGTCCAGTTTTGCCAACACCATCTGTTGAAGAGGCTGTCATTTCCCCATTGTATGTCCATGGCTCCTTTATCATATATTAATTGACCATATATGTTTGGGTTAATATCTGGAGGCTCTATTCTGTTCCACTGGTCTGTGTCTCTGTTCTTGTGCCAGTACAAAATTGTCTTGATTACTGTGGCTTTATAGTAGAGCTTGAAGTTGGGTAGTGAGATCCCTCCCACTTCATTCTTCCTTCTCAGGATTGCTTTGGCTATTCAGGGTCTTTGGTGGTTCCATATGAATTTTAGAACTATTTGTTCCAGTTCATTGAAGAATGCTGTTG